TGTCATGGAATGGTACGTATTGTTGGCTCAAATGGAAGCAGGTAGCGAATGTAAGTGGTTGGTTGTGAATATAGCTCAGTTAGACCATGGGCTTCTGTTTCACTCAAAACCTCTGACCTGTAAATCACCCTGAAATGGACAGTGGGGAAAATACGAAAATGTGGAAGACATGCTCTTTCTCTTCTAGGGGTTCATAATATGGTAGAGGAAGTAAAATACAGTTGACCCTTGAACAACATGAGTTTGAACTGTGCAGGTCCGCTTACATGTGGATTTTTTCCAATAGATAATGTGCTACAGTATGACAACATCTAAAATTCCTCTGGTCTGCTGCTGTGGGAGGAACAGGGGCTACACGGGGCCATCTGTGAAGTTACCTTCCACTGCCCAGAGGGTCAATGCCCCTAAGTCCCACATTGTTCAGGAGTCAACTGTACATGCACAACAATGAAACAGGTTGCAGATTGGGTCCTGAGAGATAACCCAAGTGCTATAAGAGTTCAAAGAGAATAGAGATTCCTTTAGACATAGGTGATCAATGAAGGCTTAACGGAAGAAGTGGCATTTCAGCTGAGTCGTGAATATTTGATAGGTCAGAATATGAGTGTGTGGGCAGCAGCCCATGTTTGCCTATGAAGAAGAAGGCAGAGCCAAGAACCTTCAGGTGACTACCTGTACCTCCAGCACCTCAGTCAGGGACTGGCACACAGCAAATGACCCACAAATATCACAGATTCTGACTCAGACAAACACTAACTGACTAGCAAGGTTTTGGTTTTTCCTTTCTTTGGAAGAAAAGACTAAAGAAGTAACTGTATAAAATGTAAAAACTGATTGGAAGACACATGCAGAATTCACAAACATTAAGATGGGAGAGCGAAGTGCTTTTTCTGAATCTTAAAAACATGGCATTTGGTGAATTTGAGCGGAGTGAGCTTTCGAGTAGCACATGAGAGGCATATACACAGCTGGATAGACAGAGGAGCTGGAGAGACAGATGAACCAGATGGCATAAGGCCCCGGATTCTAGGCTAACACTTCTGACTTTTAATAGGGAGTCGCTGAAGGATCTCTGAGCAGAGTCGGCTGTGGGAAAAGTAATAATCAGAGTCAGTGAGAAAATCAGCACTGCTTCTGGTGATCACAATAGAGAATGAAAATGCATTAAGCACTCAGATAATGACAGGAAAAATGCAGGCCAGTTTTGAATGTTATTCTATTGAACTCAAGCAACCTTGGACAGACACGACTCATCCCATCTACCGGTTGAGGAACCCAAGCTTTGAGAGGATTAAAAACCTTGCTCTTCAGTTTTCCCAACACCATTTGCTAGAGAGACTGTCTTTATTCCATTGTATATTCTTGCCTCCTTTGTCGAAGATGAGTTGACCAAAAGTTTGTGGGTTCATTTCTGGGCTCTCTATTCTGTTCCATTGGTCTATATGTCTGTTTTGGTA